GTTGCATGAGTCAAGAGAAGAGACAAAGGGGCAGTTTAGTCACCCCTCGGCTATCAGGAAAGGCTTTGCGGAGGAAGCCTTTGAGCTGAGGCCTGAAGTACTAGAAGCAGATAGTAGGGTGAAGGTGGGTGGAATGGGGAGGAGGAAAGGGATATTTAGGTGTAGGAAAGCCAGTATCTTACTATTTTTTTGAAATGTATCAATCTGTTGCACATGCTGGAGTGCAGTAGTGTGATCTCAGCTCACTTCAACCTCTACTTCCTGGGCTCAAGTGATTCTCCTGCCTCAGCCTCTGGGGTAGCTGGGATCACAGGCATGCGCCACAACACCTAATTTTTTTGGATTTTTAGGAGGGACAGGATTTCACCATGTTGGCTGGGCTGGTCTTGAACTCCTGACCAGGAGTTTTAATTTTAATTCTTTTAATACTGTCTTTCCAAAATCACAAATGAACTTTGATACAGCCAGAGGATCATAACCAGGGTAATTAGGAGCTTTGGGTAAAGAATACTACTGTTTCTTCATTCATATTTACGTGCTGAGGTATATTGGGATCTCTGTATAGATGCTCTATGAATTAAAGACACACATTGGACTTTAAATCTTGTTCTTAGTTCCCCACAGATCCAGTGGGAAGCTGTCTTATATACATCTTTATATGAAGATTCATTTTTCTTATCAGCATTGTTTGAGAGCAGTCTATCTGCTCATTGCTCTACCAGGCATTAGGGATATTGCAGTGAACAATAAATCTGGTTCTTACCTGCTCTGAGCTTTCAGTGTACAAGTAATTACATTGAAATAGGATCAATGCTAAGACAAGATGTTATTGGTGCTCACTGTTTTGGTATCTAACCTAATCTGGTGGCCAGAGAAGAATCCTGGAGAAAGTGACATTTAAGTGGAAACTGACAGAGAAACAGGTTGTTGCCAGAGCAAGAAATGGGTAGTGAGGATGAATGTTCCAAGTGAAGTGATAACGTGTCAAGTTTCGGGTGGGAGAGAGGTCTTTTTAGGGAAATGAAAGACATTGCATATGGGGAGATGAGTCTGGACTATAGTGGGTCTCAGTCTTCACTGAACTCTGGGTGAGTGTTTTAAGTCTGGCTTCTCTCAGAGAATGCAAAATCTGTCAAGTCAGAAAGCTAGTTTGTCCTGTTCATAGCTGTAAACTCTACACCTATAAGGCATGTACCTACTGTGCCTGGTACTTGAAATGCACTTGATAAAAGTTTGTTGAAGGAATGTGTTACTGTGAACCTTAGTTTACCTCTTTGAAATTCATTATGCTCATCGACCCTCATCACAAACTTGTAAATAAAACTAGAAATGTGAAAGCACTTTGTAAATTGTAAAACATGCTATTTGTTTTAAAGCTGTATGATACTATGTTGCAAACATGTGTAATGCAGTACCTCTGTTGTGCTCCTAACCGCTGTCTTTCTGGGAATCATGTTTACTCCACTAGTCAGAAAAAAATCCCTAAAATATCATATTAATGATCCATTCATATGTAATACAAAAGTAATTTGATTAGTTAGGAAAAACCATCAGCCTGTTTACTTCCTCTTACCATTTCCCAAAGTGGTTTCTATCATCTTCACATTGCCTATTTTCTACTAAGTAAGCATTAATCAACGGGAAGTAATTACGCTTTTCCCCTGGCCCAGATTAGATCCTATCTTGTTGCTCATTGTGTACTTATTTTACTTATACCAGTGAATCATTAACTCCTTGAAAGCAGGCATCTTGATCTTTTTTTTTTTTTTTTTTTTTTTTGAGACAGAGTTTCACTCTTGTTACCCAGACTGGAGTGCAATGGCTCAATCTCGGCTCACCACAACCTCCACCTCCTAGGTTCAGGCAATTCTCCTGCCTCAGCCTCCTGAGTAGCTGGGATTACAGGCACGCGCCACCATGCCCAGCTAATTTTTTGTATTTTTAGTAGAGACGGGGTTTCACCATGTTGACCAGGATGGTCTCGATCTCTTGACCTCGTGATCCACCCGCCTCGGCCTCCCAAAGTGCTGGGATTACAGGTGTGAGCCACCGCGCCTGGCCTGCAGCTTGATCTTTTTATCTTCAGCATCCAATAGGCTGTTAGCTGCTACTGAATATTTGTCGGTAGACATTTTTTATTAATTTTATTTTATTTGAGATGAAGTCTTGCTCTGTGGCCCAGGATGGAGTGCAGTGACGCGATCTTGGCTCACTGCAATCTCTGCTTCCTGGGTTCAAGAGATTCTCCTGCCTCAGCCTCCTGCATAGCTGGGACTACAGGTGTGTGCCACCACACCAGGCTAGTTTTTTTTTTTTTTGTTTTTTTTTTTTGCATTTTTAGTAGAGACAGGTTTTATCACGTTGGCCAGGCTGGTCCTCCCTTCCATGGACTCCCAAAGTGCTGGGATTACAGGTGGCAGCCACCGCGCCCGGCATGTTTTGCTCTTTAATTTTTTTTTTTTTTTTTTTGAGACAGAGTCTCACTTTGTCACCCAGGCTGGAGTACAGTGGCGAGATCTTGGCTTACTGCAACCTCTGCCTCCTGGATTCAAACAATTCTCCTGCTTCATCCTCTCAAGTAGCTGGGACTATAGGCGCCTGCCACCATGGGCCTGGCTAATTTTTTATATTTTTAGTGAAGACGGGGTTTCACCATTAGCTAGGATGGTCTAGATCTCCTGACCTCGTGATCCACCCGCCTCGGCCTCCCAAAGTGCTGGGATTACAGGTGTGAGCCATTGCGTCCGACCACTCACTCTTTAATTTTGACTTAATTATTATATATACAAACAAGTCTCTTGATCTTGCCCATAAAACAGTTCCTGAAGCTTCTCAGTGCTTGTTGCTTTCATATCAACCCTGCCCAGCTCATAGCTCTTATTTGTCAAGTAAGTTCAGACACAGAATAGTCTAAGCATTCTGGAGGAAGAGCGCTCTGAAATTAATTTAAAAATAAACTTCCTTAGAATTTATGATTTTTTTGGGTCCATGTCTACATTTCCCAAATCTTCTTTCTTTATAGTGATAAATTTAGTTAAACAGAAAAACCTCTCCTGCGGTAGGGCTGTTCATGTTTAAAAATAAAAGAAAAACCTTTTTGTGGAGGCAAAAGTAATGAGGGGAGAATGCTTTTTGTGTGTATATCCTGTGGTTTCCCTTTTTTTTTTTTTTGAGACAGAGTCTCGCTGCCACTCAGGCTGGAGTACAGTGGCGTGATCTCCACTCACTGCAACCTCTGCATGCCGGGTTAAGCAATTCTCCATTCTCAGCCTCCTGAGTAGCTGGAACCACAGCCGTCTGCCACCATGCCAACTAATTTTTGTATTTTTATTTATTTATTTATTTATTTATTTATTTATTTTTGAGTCGGAGTTTCGCTCTTGTTACCCAGGCTGGAGTGCAATGGCGCGATCTCGGCTCACCGCAACCTCCGCCTCCTGGGTTCAGGCAATTCTCCTGCCTCAGCCTCCTGAGCAGCTGGGATTACAGGCACGCGCCACCATGCCCAGCTAATTTTTTGTAGTTTTTTTAGTAGAGACGGGGTTTCACCGCTTTGACCAGGATGGTCTCGATCTCTTGACCTCGTGATCCACCCGCCTCGGCCTCCCAAAGTGCTGGGATTACAGGCGTGAGCCACCGTGCCCGGCTAATTTTTGTATTTTTAGTAGAGATGGGGTTTCACCATATTGGCCAGGCTGGTCTTGAACTCCTGACCGCATAAGCCGCCCTGCCTCGGCCTCGCAAAGTGCTGGGATTACAGGCATGAGCCACACTGCACCCGGCCCATTTACTCGTTCATTAATTCACATATCTCATCTATTAAATGTGTAACACATTGCCAATAATCTATCCCACTGCTGCCGTTTAAATTTTCCTTCTCATCTTTATTTCATACCAAGGGCTTGAGAATTAGATTCGGGTTAAATGGTTTTCAAGTTTTAGGGATAGTAGTTCGTTGCTTGCAAACGTTAAAATTGTTAAGCAACAATAAAAGACAGGGCCTCTCAATTTGATTTTTTTCACTAATTTTTCGTTTCTTTTTTTTTTTTTTTTTTTTTTTTGA